GAAAAAAAATGATAATATTTACGATGAAATGAATCTTTAATTAGATTATTAATATTATTAATATTATTAATATTATTATTAATTGAGTTTAAATATGAAAAACGATAACTAAATGTAGTTATATTCTTAATTCTTCTAATTATTCTAATTATCGATGTATAGAAGAAAAATTTTAAAGAAAATACTAAAATGCGATGTTTATGAGTAAAATAATATAAAATAATGTGAGATGAAAAGTAGAAATAAAAGGCTGTGTTCTTTGACTATTAACTTTTTAGAAATAATTTAGCCACATTATTTTTTTATTGACCTTTTTTTCAATATTTTCAATACAAATTATTAAATATTTAATTATTAATTTATACTAATTTTAATAATTAATTTTTAATATTACTATTACTATTACTAGAATTATACATTGCGTTTATGTTTGTTTGTTTTTTTGCCGTAAAATTTTGCTGTCAAAATAAAACGAAACAATCTTTCAAGAAATTTTTTTATTTATACAAATTATAAAAGAAATAAGGAAATTATTTATTTTTATTTATTATTATTTGTATTGATTATTAATGGTTATAAAAAGGGAATTGATATAACGATATAAGAAGATGCCATGATCGTCTTTCATTCAAGTAAAACAAAACAAATATGCGTTTATTGCGTTTTATTGCGTTAATTGCGTTAATTTCCTCATCAACGCCATCACCTTCCTTCCACGTTGTCCTTATCCAATTTTCCTTATCTCTCTTGTAGTATTTTTATGGCCACTTGCATAATATTAAAAGCCTAGACTATAAATATTTCTTCATTATTTTTTCCTAATTAAATTTAATTTATCTTATTTCTAAGAATAAAAGAGAATTTAACAATCACTAATTATATGTGTTAACTTATTGAGATAGACTTAAAGGTTATACTTTTATCGCTATTATTATTATGTATGCGTATTGACGACGTTTAATCAGTCATCAGACAGGTATTTATCACGCTAAAAAATATATATATATATATATATATAAACTTCGAATAAGGTTTCATAAGCACTACTTTACTAGAATATTCTTCGCACCCCAAAAACAAAAGAATAAAGGAAAGAAAAACCATTCAACTGAGAATTAAAAGCCAAATTACTTTAAAAATCATCTTTCAAAGTTCCTCGATTTTTCTGGGACACCAATCTGCTTATTTATTACCAAACCTGAGAAATCTATGAAATCTAATTATTTTATTATTATTAATCGTTTCCTTTAAGATATCTCTTTCAACATAATAATCACGGTAACTTGTTCTTTTATGGTCATGGTTATATTGAGTGGATTATTCTACCTTCTATATTTAATTTTGTTTTAATTTTTATTTAATTTTGTTTTAATTTGCTTTAATTTGTTTTAATTTGTTTTATTTTCATCGATAATTCGTTTTTATTGACTTACAAATTAAGACACAAAATATAATGAACATAATAAATATAATTCTATTAGGTCAGGATTTCTTTCTATTCCGCGCGTTGTTATAGTGTAGGAGGTGTTTATGATAAAGTGATAAAGTATATGATGATTTTACTTAATTTAACTCTGTCCGAAAATCCCCTATTATTATATGGTGATATTGATAAAAATAAATTATTTGTCGAAATAATAATTTTAATAATTTATGCTAGCAATTGATATATCATTACCTAATGCTTCTAAACAATCAAAACAATTATTCTTTCGTAAATATGCATGAATGTACAATATAAATTTTTTTTAATGGAATGGTAAACCATCTAAATGGTTTCTATTAACAGTATAGTCAAAAGCTATCAAATACTTAAGAAATCAAAAATTATTATTATCTCTTTTGACCACAAGAACCATAAAGTTATAATATAAAAGAAACTTCTTTTTTTGATCAGTCTCGCTTATTACACTAAATTGATTATGTCACTGTACTGTACTGATAATAGAATGAAGAAGAATAATATTCTCTTTCATAGTATAGAAGTTGATGATAGCTGTTCTCAATTACTCGAGATATGAAAAAAAATAAGTTGTCGATTAAAAAAAAGAGAAATGTTAATGATGACAGATGTGAAAAACAAATAAATAAAATATTCTGTGTTGCGCATGAAAATTTCATTTACAAAATTTTCACATGATTAAAGTAAGGTGGCGTTTGAATTTTTATCCAAAAAAAGTAAATGAAATAATAGATTTTAATTTTTATTTGCATCAAGGAATCTTTTCCACAAAAGAGTTACGTTGTTCCGTAAAATTGCATTTGACACATATGTATGGTTCTTTATAATGCTTGATAATGTTGCAAAGTTATTTATTTTTGTTATCCGTTGTTTATTATTTATTTCAAATCTTTCCCGCCCTGTCATAACACATCTATCATAATAAGCATCTCATAAAACATCTCATAAAAACATCTCATTTTAGAATTATAATTTGTTTTGACAAATGAGAAAAGCATAAAATTGCAAAATGTCAACCTCAAAAAAATTTGATTACATGAAATATTTTATAATAGTAAAGAACTATTTTATAATATAGTTTTATATAGTTTAATATAGTTTGAAATATTTTATAAATAATTTTATAATATTTGATAATAATAATAAAATAAATAAAATTATTTAATATAAACATTTGATTTAATGCTATTAAATGAGTAAAAGGTTCTAGATAATAATTTTTCATATGTTAAATGCATCTTGTAAAGTAAAAAGTATATGAAAACCTAAAATGCGCATATGGAATCTTTCATAGGTGTAATTGCATATCAGAGAAAAACGTTATTTTTCACAATTGTTCGAATATGCATGCTAGTTTATAATAACATTGCCATTCAAAACTAATTATTAATTTTTTTCATGTCAAAACCTTAGTTTCAGATATTTTTTATAAGAACATTTGATAATAACTAAAAAATTTCATAAGAATTAGAAATTAACTAATATTATATTGAAATTAAAAAATATAAAAAAAATGAGAAATATAACGTACATTTTGAATCACATGTTAGGATGTTAGGTCCGTCACACACACACGTCAAATAAAATAATTAAATTAAAATAAGTTAATATAAATAATAATAATAATATAATAATAATAATAATAATAATAATTATCATTATTATTAATCAAATAATATTAAAGATTAAAAAATAAAATAAAATAAAAATACAAATGAATGTAAATGTCTTTTCATTTATATAATGTAATATCTTATAAGGGGAAAAACATATAATTATTATTGATTTATTGATCTATGAAAATAAAGAATTAATCCATCCACCAATAAATAAATAAAACTTTACACTGACATCAAATGACTGAAACACTAAACCTCAATAATATTAATGTTTTAAAAGAATAAAAATAATTTTATTTTTACTATTTTTACTGGAGCTTCATTTTGATGATAATAAAAGCCACGGATTACAACATGCCCACGTTATCAAAGTATCAAAGTTTAAATTATAAAAATCTCCTACAATTTCATATATTTAACTATTAAACTCAGTTACCATTTGTCATATTTTGCCATGATAACAAATAATCCTAAAATAATATCAACATAAATAAAAAAAATATATATATATCTATCTATATCAATATTTTATATATATTTTTACTGTACTTAAAACATTCGGACATTCAGCGACTCAAATGTTTGCATATTTTAAAATATAAATAAAATAATATATTTTTAATATATTTTTATATAATTTATAAATTTATAAATTTATAAATTTATATAAATTTATAATGAATGAATTATTAGAAAGCACAATTTCTCTGAATAATTAAATGTAATTAAATGTATATTTATGTATATTATTCGTTCTTTAAGATTAATATCTTACTTATGATACTTATGATGCTTAATAATAATATTCATAATATTATTTATAAAATACTCTTATGGTCAAGTTCCTCTTTAAATTAATTTCTATTCTTTCTATTCTCTTTAATTAGTCTTTAAATAATCTTTATTATTATTGACCCTTTACCTTTATCGTTATGAAAAAGCGTGCAAATGACGTTTGACTATGTTATTATATACATATATATTATATTTTTTATTATATTATATTTTTATTATATTATATTATTATATTATATTTATTATATTATTATATTATTATATTGGATGTATATATATAATTTATTCTATTTTGTAATAAATTGTATCACCATTATTTATATAAGTTCGAAGAATTTGATTATCATATATAACGTTTATTTATTATGATACTACAATTATTTTATTTATTTATATATAATGTTAAAATATTCTGCAAATTCTTTTTGACACTTAATAATATAAATACTGTCATTATTGTACTGAACAACAAATTTTTATTTTTTTTTTAAATAACCCTCTTATTTAATATCGGCGAAAAAAATTTTTTTTTTCCTTTTCTACTGTAAATATTTTCTCCTTTCTCTTTAAGTATTGAATTTTTTGTGGAATAGTGCCTTATACTACACCACACGAAACCAGTGATAAAATATCAGTAATATTGCAGTTGAAAACTCGAACGTCGTTACTCAAAGGTATTTAATGATGATTTACCTAAATATCTCGTCTCTATTTATACCCTGATTTTTTATTTCTTTTCCACATTTTTTCGTTTCCTTTTTTTCAAATTTATTTGTAATTTTTATTTTATCCTTTTTTATACTTTATTTTATACTCCTTTTTACACATCATTTTATACTTTTTCTTCTTACTTTATCTTTATATTTCAAATTCAAGCCGAGCTTTCGAATTTATTTCGATCAATCGTTTTCGTTTATCTTACTTGAGCCTATTTTATTCTTGTTAAAATTTATTTTATTCTTGTCTTCTATATAAAAATTATTATCTACTTATCATTTGAACTTTTAATTGAATCTTTATTTTTATTTTTTTCTTCTTTATTTTTATTTTTTTTCTTCTTTTTTTCTTCTTTCCTCGGAATTATATCAAAAATTTTGAATTAATCTTTAATTCTTTTAGACAATATGCCGGCTCCTAGACCCGCCGTGCGCTCTAAAAAAGAGAGTAACCACCCTTACATAAACAGTTTGGGTTATAATGACCGAGGTGGATTTAACAGTAAACAGGTAATTTTTTGGATCACCCACCATATTAATTATAAATATCATTATATTCATTATTGTATGATAAATTATATCTACCAAGGAATAATAATAATTATCATTATTATTAATAATAATAATTAATAATAATAATAATAATAATAATATAATAATAATAAATGACATAATGATAATAACAATACTTTATTAATTAAATAAACATGTGATCAAAAGGGGATTATGAAAAGCAATGGCGCAGTAGCCTGAAAAAAATATAATGATAATATTGATAATATTGATAATATTGTTAGAATAATAAAAAAAAAATATCGATTTCGTCTTTTATCGAATATTTATTTATTATGGAAACTTTGATTATTAGGGCGTACCTGTTACCACTTCCACTCAAACTCGTACTAATAGTATGTATGCTTCCATGGCAACTGCTTTCTTAAAGGTTAGAAAAAAATTTTTATGTCCTTGGTCGTTCTTTTATTGGTTCGTTTTTATTTATCAAAACAAAGGAATAAACTGCACACATTATCTTTTTCTTGCATTATGCATTCACTCTGTTGATATTCTCTTGATTTGCCTTTTATATAAACACTATAAAATTATTGCTAACTTTTTCATTCATTTTAGGATAATCCCTCTCTTCAAATTTCTCAAAAATTAGAGACAAATTCATTAAAAACCAAGAAGGTATTGTTATTATTCTTCTTATTTATAATCATCACCTTATATTCAAAGTGATTTGCTAACACAATATTACACAATTTATATTTATCTATTATTATTATAGGTCCAACCTAATTCTATTCATCGCCCGACAACCCCTTCAAGCAGCAAAAAGAATTTTGTTGAAAAAAATAAAAACTTACCAAAGATAAAGAAAGTTGATAGTTCATCGACCATAAAACAACGTTCTCCTGCTGTTTCAGCTGCAAGACCAATTACTCCTCACGAAGTAAAACCATTAAAGAGTAGTTTAAAGAAAAAGAGCTTCCCATCATCGAGTGATACGTCTTCAATTGGTTCATCTTCTTCCGTCTCTCCTGTTCAAAAAACAACACCTACTTCTACTCGCCGCCAAGTATCTCCACCTCCGTCAATTTCTAATCATAATGCTTCTGCACATTTTCGTTCTCATGATGCTTCAGCACATATTCGTTCTCATGTTCATGCTAATTCTCCCGACAACATACTTCAGGATCAAATTAGGAAATTGAAACATCAAATAGAAGAACAAGAAGAAGATTTGCGTTATTTTAGATTAGAACATGATGACAATGAGGATACTATCAAAGCCTTGAGATCAAAAAATGACAAACTTTTAGAACAAAATAAAGAATTAGAGGAAGAAAATAGATTATTGCGTATTCACATTGAAGAAATTGAAGAAAGAAAATCAAAAAAACAAGGAACTTTTGAAATCCTTTCGGCAATAAAGAATAACCATCAAAGAGTTCTTGGTGTTCAATCTGTTCAATCTGTTCAATCTGATATGACTTTCAGATCAACCTCAACCTTATCTTCTATCCCCCTTACTCGATCATCTTCAACCCTTTCTTCTGATACCGGAAAATCTACAATCAGCTCAATTTCTACCCAAAGCGATAAGGAGTTTGATACTTTCGAAAATAAAAATTTCAAAAGTATTGCATTGCCTCATGTAATCTCAAAAGTTGGTGAGTCTACAAGACAATCTATATCATCTTTTCCGTCTACTATGGCTTCCGACAATAATTTAGAAAGACTTACCAGACCTACTGCACCAACTCCGACAAGAATGGATAGAACTCCATTTTCAGTTAGACAAATTGAATCGAATTATGATGATTATAAGACTTTGGGTTATGCAAAAAGTGCTGCCGCTTCTATGGACATCATGGAATATTCTGACGAAAGCGACAGTGACGATTCTGATGACTCTGAGATTATGGAATATAGTCAACTCGGACTTCCACAAGGCACTTTGAATCCTAGCTCTCCAATAAATGATGATTATTACGATGAATTTTTGAACCATGATTATTATGATTCAGATGCCTTGTCGAAACCTGATTTGGATGCAATTATTGAGGAGGAGGATGAAGATGATGAATTTGAATTAGAACCATTCCAAATACAAAAATTGCAAAAACAAAAATCTATTGTATATTCATCTAATTTTACGAAATCTGTTGCCTCCGTAGTTAGAAATGTTGATTCTTATAACAATGGCTTTTCCAAAGATTTCCCACCATCAATTTCCGCATCATCAAGTTCAATTGGGTTAACACAAATGAATAGCTCTGTGGCATCTAGATCTAGTGCACGTCCATTATCCCCCGCCTCTTCTACTCGTACAGCTACCCCAAACACATCCGCACGTGTAAAATCTAATTCTCCATCTTCATCACGGTCATCAACTCCTGTCACGTTTGAATCAAGTCGTTGCCATTCTCAAGTTCGGCAAAGCCGTCTTAATGAAACTTCTGGTAGTTCAAATGTGTTACCACCACCACCTCCTCAAAACTATACAAAATCATATCAACATTATTTACGTTTGATATTCGAAAACTCAATTAATGAGGATCCCAAGAAGTTTTATGATATCAAAAAAGTAATTGACGAAGGTTCCTCTGCTAAAGTTTATACTGCTCATTCTTTAACTAATCCATCAGAAGAATGTGCCATCAAGATAATTCCTCTTGACTATTCATTGGAATTCATTTTTAATGAAATATATGTATTGAGAAATTTTAAACATAAAAATATTGTTGATTTTAAAGAAAGTTACTTGAGATGGAATGGTAGCAGTACTCGTGATGTTTGTATTGCCATGGAGAAATGTGTTCGTGGTGATATCACTAACCGTGCTGGTAAAATAACTCAACGTGAAGCAGGACGAATAGCTGGACAGGTAATTGTAAAATATTATCTTGTATTTCCGTTATATTTACTTATTTAGATATCAATTTAATAATTTATTTAAAATTTTTTTTTTTTTAATTTCGTTTAGCTTTTAGAAGCTTTAAACCATTTACATTCTCACGGTGTAATTCATCGTGACCTTAAGCTTTCTAACATTTTGTCAAATTCTGACAATGAAATCAAGCTTGGTATGTTTATTTATCATTATTAAAAAATTTGAATTGTATCATAGATATCATAGATATTTATTTACATTTGTATTTAATATAAAAAAAAAAAAAAAAAATTCAAAATTCAAACAATATTAAAATATTCTTTATTATTTGATTATAGCCGATTTTGGAATAGCATCATTGACACCAACTTCAACCACATCTATGGTTGGAACAATTCCATATATGGCTCCAGATGTAGTTCGTGTCGCATCAGACAGACCTTACGACACTAAAGTTGACATTTGGTCATTAGGTGTTTGTATATTAGAACTTCTAACTGGAAAAGCTGCATGGGGAAATATTCGTGATGACCAAATCATGGATAAGCTACGAAAAGGTGAATTACCACACGGTATGCATCGTCTTCGTAACAAAGAAGACACAAGATGGGAAACTATCAGCTTTTTGGAACAATGTTTTGCACCAAACTGCGAAACAAGATGGTCTGCTGAAAAACTATTAAATGTATGAATCTTTTATATTAATCATTACATTTAAATTTATTGTTTTAAATTTATAATTATTTTCTAACAACAAATATTTTTTTATTTATTTTATTATAGCATCCGTTTATCAAAAACAATAGAACATAATTTTCTCATTTGAAAATTTCTTCGTCATTTTTTTTTTCGTTGTCAGGCCTACCGTATCTATTGTAAAAATTCACTTATTTATTTTGTTACTCTTTCACATTACCATTTTTTTCATTATATTTTTCATCGCCTTTCATTCACAATGTACAAAAAAATCCATTCATGATTTGGTTTTTTTTGTTATTGACATTTTCGCATTTTATTTATTTAAGTTTCAATAATGTTTCCCATTTTTTTCATCCTTTCGTTTTAAGAAGAAAAATTCTTTTCTACAAATTATATGGTTTTATCAACTATGGAAAAATTAGACATAAATATTTATTCTTTTTATTTATTTATTTTCATTTTTTTCCTTTACCATACCACCACATCAATTTATGTTTTACGCAACACATTTAAACTATAAGAAAAATTCATTTCTCATTTATACACAAACACAAACACAAACACAAACACAAACACAATTACAAACACAATTACAAACACAAATACAAACAAACTCGGTCGATAAACGAGGAGATTTTTATTTCCTCATTTATTAATTTTTCGGTCCTGCAAGCGGACGCAGTACCAATTCCTAATCGAAGTCGAAATATTTTGGGCAAATCGAAATTTTTATTGGCAAAATCTAAACGGCAAACACGAAATTTTTATTGGCAAATCTGAATCGGCACAAAATATTTCGACAAAAACTCGAAGTTTTTATGTTTATTACCATTTCGCGACAAAATTTTATATTTATTATTTATTTATTTATTTCTAAAGGGAATAATTTTTTTTTTTTAAAAAAAAAAAAAAAAAAAAGATATTTCCTTTTATGGTTTTGACTGTTTTTATTTTGGTTAGTAAACTATTTATTATTTATTTATTGAATGATTAAAAAGTTTACTTTTCAAGTGATTTGAATCTGTAATAAAAGTTCTCTTCAAGCATTTAATTGTTGTATTTTTTTTTTTTTTTTTATATTTTTTCTCTGTCAATGCTTTTTTTTATACAGATCACTAACAACAACAGAAACATTTAATTCTTAACACGTACGACCGAACGTCTTTAACCTTTATAACAGTCACAAAACATTACCGTCATTACCGTTATATCTATCTAATAATTTTTTATTATGAGGTGACTGCGAATCCAGAATTCATAAGTGAAACAGATTATGCGTGAGTTTTGTGTGTTGCTTTAATAATAGTTTTTATTAGTTAATAGTTTAATTATCTTTAATACATATAACAAATATTTTTATGGACTCCTTTTTTTTTGTCTAATTTCAATAAGTTTTTTAAGTAGGAGAAAATTTGGGGACATTTTTTTTCATGTAATTTTTTTTTCATTTAAAAATTTTAGCATATTTTCCGTTCATCATCAAAGCAAAAAAAAAAAAAAAAATAAGAGCATCATTATCATTACATATTTGCATTTCTTTAATCCATTTTATTGTATATTTTTCAATCTCAATTTTTTCAAAAAAAATTCAAAGTGGTTCTTTTTTTTTTATATATATATAAAAAATTGATCCCAATAGTTTTCATAAGTGATTAATTTTTGATTACTATTTACTTTGGAAGAAATGTTTCCAAAGAAAGGTTGAAAACAAATAATTCATTCGAAATTGTATATATTTTACTCACCTTTTTATTGTCATTAATATAATAATGTTAATAATGTGCAATTTAATGCAATTAGTGCTTTTGGGGAAAGAAATTATTTAGTAATTAGTTTAATCGTATGTTTTTTTATATTAAAAGTATTTTATTATTTTAATCATTTTAATCGTAATTTTAATATAATAATAATTTAATAATTTATAATATTAATATATAATTATTGTTATATATATATATATTTGAAAAGTATTATTAATATAATTTAATTTAATTTAATTTAATTTAAAGAATTTATGTTATATTTTCAATTTTGATTTTATTTTATGATATTCGAAAGCTGCGAAGAAAATGTTAGTAAAATGCAATGTTTTTATTTAATTTATGAATTGTTTATGAACTTTGCATTTATGTTTTATGTTTTATGAACCGTTTAAGATTGCATAATAACTATAATAACTCGAAATTTAGTCGATTCCATTCTTATGTCACAACACGTGTTAATATATCTATTTATGATGTCCGCGCATATTCAAATAAAGAAGCTTGCATTTAGAAAAACATTTTGACATTTTACTCATTTCTGCATGCATTTTACTTATTTTACAAGTTGACAAACAATAGGATGTATGCATAGTTGGCCCATTGTGAAATAATACTATTACTGCGTGTATTACGAATGATGAGATTGTTGCATCTTTTCATCTTTTCATTGTATTTAGAACCATTTTTTGAGGAAGTAAAAAAGTGAAAAGGTAAAAATGCGTATTGAAAAATAAAAGTGATGAAGTTATGTTACTTAGACGCATTTTATATTACAACAGATTACTAATAGTTTGTTTGGTTTGCGAAAGTATTTAAAGTAATAAAAATAAAAACACAACTTATAAAGTGAAATAATGTAAAACCTTTTATTTATGAAAAAAAAGAAAAAAAAAAAAAGAAAGAGAGAGAAGAGAAAGTAGAGTAAAGAGAAGAATAAAGGAAATGAAAGAAATGAATAAAAGAAATGAAAGAAATGAATAAATGAAATTGAAAGAAATGAAAGAAATGAATAAAAGAAATGAAATAAATGAATAAAAGAAATGAAATAAATAAAAAAGGGGATGAAGGTATTTTATAGATAAGGGGTTTTTTTTTTACAAAGGAAATCTACCTTTATAGATAATAATTTATCGTTCGGGGAAATGCAGACATCCCGTTTATCTTTAAAGTTTTAAAATGCAATTTATCCATCTTTGGAAAACATTTTCCGTGTTTCTGAATCAATAAAGAAGAAATAAGAATGAAAAACGAGAAAACGAATTTTTTATTAGAACATACATACAAATATTTATATATATTATCGGAGGTTATCAAGTTTTATCAGTTAGATATTCGGTCAAACAAAGAGTATAATTTTTTTTGACTGGCATCATAAAAAAAAAATAAAATAAAAAGGCAAAAACCTGATTTATTTCAAAAATGGAATAATCAATATCCTATTACATATGATTCTTTAATTTTCATAATAAATCCTTAACAGCTAAAAACTTGTTTCTTCCATTGATTTGTTCTTTCTCAAGGAAATCAACAACTTTTAATATTATTATAAATGAATAATAAGACCATATACGGAACAGAAAGAATGTTAATACATTTCCGCGCCTGAATTTTCAAAACTGTCATTATTAAAATTAATGCATGAGACTAAAAATGTTTACGTATGGATGAATGTTAAACGAAAGTCATTAGAAACGCGTGGATAAATTACGCCCTTATGATATTCCCACGTACAGTATGTATACATGCTAATAACAAAAACGTTTTCTTTTCTGAATTTATAAAGTAACTACAAACGTATTGGTATAAGGCCAGTAAGAAATAATTCGCACAACTGGAAAAAAAAATTTCGATATCTTTTAATTTTTAATACTTTGCAGTTTGGTGAAATTATTCCTTGCTACATAAATGTTTGGCAGATATATACATCGTTTTCATTTTTGTGGCATCTTCATATATTATTCTCGCATAAAAGATTCATTTAGTTTATTTGAAAAAAAACATCAGACATCTAAAAAAACCCAAGTATTGGAAAAATTGGACATCAAAATTTTATTAATTAACAATTAATGTATTACTTTCTTGAATTCTTGAATGCTTCGTTTTGCATGCAATTTAAAATGATAAATTTATCAAATTACTTTTAAAAAAAAAAAAAAAAAAGAATTGAATCCATTTTCTGATAAAATTAAAATTCTGCATCTATTATTCATCAAAAGTTATTTGGTTTGTTGACAATAATGTGCGATCGATGATGTATATTTTTAAAAGATGTTTTTTAATATTTATATTGTGTATTCAAAGTCCCGAAAACTCAAAATGTGTATGACAATTTGCCATGCTCTAATTTTGGGTTACATTACGAACACAATTAAATAATAATGTAAAAGTATATTTATAATGAAAGTATAATGGAATGAAAATCCACCAATTAAAAAGATTAGTAATTTATGATTAATAATAAAGTATGTTTAAGTTTAATGTAGCATGTTCATAATATTCGGAATAATAAATTAGAATACTATATTATATAATATATATATGCATATAACAGTATATATGCATATAATAGTATATAATAGTATAATATAATTATACATTATATTATCTATAATAGATACCTTAAATTCATAATGCAAAATCATTTAATATAATTACATGTTAGCAAATTATTTTGCGTATAAGCTAACTAAATAAATTTCCATTATTGAAATAAAATCTATAAATATCTTGAACACAATGAGTCAATCATATGCAATAGCATATATTATTTAACATAGATAAAAAGTTGAAAATATTATTATCGACCAGAGAAAATTAAAATTTTTAATTTTACACTAACAAAAATAATAAATTATAGGACAAATATCAAGATATTTAATTAGTAAAATGTGTTAGACAAAATATGTTAGACAAATGTATTAGACAAATATGCAGGACGAATAGCTCGTTCGTTAAACAACCAACCAAAATTTAAAGATGAATTCAACAAATTATAATCCAACTTATCAGATTATTATATCTTATTATATCTCATATATTTTATCATATATCATACCTTGATTTGGATATTTATTTAAATAATAGTATAGTGTCAATTATTAGACTTTAGAGTGTAGAGCGTGGAAGATTTCATTTTAATATTTGAAAAAGGTATAATTTGTGAACCTTATTTTTTCTCTCGTGAACAAAATTACCTTTTTTTAAAAAAAAGTTTAAAAATATTAAAACTATATTAATAGCTAAGTCGAACACGCGTACCCACATCGATTTCCTCTAAAATTCTCATATTAATATTATTTATTTTAAAAGATGTAAAAATTACACCCCTTTTCTAAGTCTAAGATATAAAATTTGACGGGACACAAATTACGAATTCTTTATAAATTTTTGATATCAAGAACAATAGGTTAACTGATAGCAATTCTTCTTTATCAATATTACATTTAAATAAATTCAATTAATGATAAAATAATTATAAAAAATTAAGTGTGACATTCGTTCAATTCATTGTTTTATTTTTTTCCAATAAAAATGATTTTAGGAAATAAATATGATATTCAACTTACATTGATATTTAATTTTTCGTATCATTTTTTTTTTATTACACGCATTGTCTCTTTTTTCACGTCATCGGCTTTAATTATCAAAATCATCAAATTATAGTAATAAAAATAATAATAAGTATTAAATTATTATCTTTAATAATCATAATTTTATACTTTGAAAAATATCCCCAAAAATTAATAACGTTAGTGTTACCTTACACACATTTCATTTCATTTTATTGGTGTCAATTTTTAGTAACATCAAGTTTTAGTTCGTAGTCGTCCCGATCCAATATTTTCAAAATCATCTAATCTGCATTATATAATTCTCTTGACACATGTCAAATATGCGAAAATATCTTGTAATTACATATTTCATGGGAAATTTCCTCAAATAAAAAAAAGTTATCCCCATCCCTCTTATTAGTCATCATCGTTCTTGCTTTATTTTGTTGCAGATCTTGACTTTAAATCTTGCCATATGCAATAATCTCAATTATCATACGACACAGCAGCATAATCACAACAACAACCGCAACACAACCACAATGGAGAAATAAAATACGTGATGTTTCAAATGTAATAAAACATTATTAAACTTTATCAATTATTCTAACAAATTGAAAGTGTCTTAAAATTCATTTATTATAATATTTTATAATATTCTATTCAGTATAGTAAAAGATGAATGTGATATTTTACGAATGAATCAAAGATTAAAAATTTCTGAAACAAATTTATTATTAATTCTATAAATATTCATCATTTCTGAGATAAACACATGTTCTTTAATAAATAACGGGAAGGATTGAAAAGGAATCATATATAAATACATTAAATAACTGTAAATATGTCAAGAAACATGATAGTCATTGTAGAAGAAGTAAAAATTACACAGGCGTTGCATATTGTTTTATGATATAATCATCCCCTACATTTCTACGCGTTTTTGTTTCCTAATGAATTTTAATAGTAAATGAATTTACTTTTATTTTATGATTGCCAATTTCCATTTCTTCCCTACCAGTAAAGTTAAGATTTACTTGTTACGAATAGAATTTTCGTATGTTTTTTTTTTTGGACATATTATGTACCCCCGTCTCCACCTTAAATATCAATCCTACAATTTAAACACAAACACAAATTAAATAAAATTGAACAAAATTAAACACAAATTCAAAACAAGCGTGGGCGTTTTTTCACATCAAGTTATTTACTGGATTCATCTATTTGTTACTTATTTTTATTCTTTACAAATGATCATTTCAGTTTCATTGCTTTACAAGTATTTAATTATTTTATCGCTTTTCTCTTTTTTGATATCATAATAAATAATAAGATTATATCCGATTAATTATATATTTTTAAATTTATTTACAATTTTATTTATTGTTCTTTTAATTATTATGCCTCATATATTATGTGGAGTATCCTTTATTTAAAAAATAATTATACGCAGTATCTCTTATTTAAATAAAATGACATAATTTAGTAAAACAAAATGACATAATTTAGTAAAACAAGAAAAAGGGGGTAAAACAGTTCGTAGAACTCAAATTGTATAACTTGATTGAGTAGTTTTCGAGTGTGGAGAAGATAAAAAAAATCTATATTTTGAAAAAACTATCATACATATTTATGAATTTGGATAATATTTTTGGAGAACACAATATTTTTTTTTTTTCAATTTAATCAAATTCAATCGTTACTCTGATAAACAAATACTTAATAAGTCATTTAATAACGATGATGTGGGAAATATTAGTGAAACATGTGAAATCCCTTATTTTACATTAAACTAAACTATTAATTTCTTCTTTCACTTCCGCACCTCTTGCATAAATGCATTATAAATTACGTAGTTACCCATGATTATTTTACTAAAATTAAAATAAATTTTTATGAAATTTCTTACATAATCTAACGCTAATTCCTTAATTAAAATTTCGTAATCAAAAACAAAGGGAATTCAAAACTATTTTATGTAAGTGAGAAGATTCGAATCAAAAGTCTATCACTTAATAACAAATATATAAATATATTGATAGCTACGTGCGTTTGTTTGCATAAATAACTTCTGAAATTGGACATAATATGTTACTATACATGCATACACGCATCAATACATACGTACGTCATTAGTTAAAATTTCGGGCGTTAACATTTAAAAAGGAACGTTATTAGTTATCATGCATGATACTGTATTTCGTTTAATGTTGCCATGTGGGATGTAATTTTACTTATTACTTACAATATGCTATGCATCATTATGTTGTATCATGATTTTTTCCTTACTGAGGATTCTTTCAATTTGTATAGGGTATGATAAGAGGAATCATATTTTCCTTATTAGATCCAGAAGAAAACAAATATTAAAATACTAATATCTAATCCAACCTCTGCTTGATTCATGTTAAATGAATGGACTTTGCAATTAAAAGGTTGTCCAAATAGAATAGTCAATTTTCGATAAAACTTTTAATTAATGAAGCTGGTAATATAATGAGAAAACCATTTTATAAATTATTTCAACTAAACAATTGAAAGAAAATATATAATAAAAAAATAAGAACTAACCTATCTTTTGTTTATCAGAAGATTTTAATTGTATAAATATATAAAAAAGGAAATATTTAATGATTTTTCATGTCAGAAATGATATTTTATATACATTTATATTAATCCAATTCTCTTTCTGCTAATCATCTGGACCATAAATTTGATGGAGTTTCAACATAAAATTTGCTAGTTGTCTATATGACTTCTATGCTAAAATAGTTATCTTTTATTCTTTTATCTTCAATAGTCATCCTTAACTTCATCTTATAATAGTAACATACTTTATTCTGCTTAACATTGTTTGAAGAGGTCTTGTTAGAAAACTGTTATTATATAGTTATGAACTAACATATCCATGTTAAAGAAATTTGATCTCTTTTATCTATCTGTTAACCTCTTTTCTGTAAGTTAGGTGTATATCACATGAATGATCTGACAAAAATTTTGACTCAATATTCAACTATCTAAGAGCTGAGTTGTATGTAATCTTTTCTAGATTCCTCATGATTTTATTTATTTTTATCATTAAATAAATTTAGATAAAAGTATAAGGATAATTAAAAATAATAAGCAAAAGAATTTATCTGAAAATTTTAATAGGCAAAAAATTTCAGTGTTTTGTTTATATTTTTTTCTGACTTCATTTTCAATTTATAAAATGTAGAGTAATATATTTTACTAAAGTATTTCAAAAATAAAAAAAAAGCCTTGTTCTTGATTACAAAATGATATGTATTTATTTCAGTAGTAGTAATATTCATGGAGTTATTACAATTTATACAGGTTAGAATTACTGTATCAAAAAGGAATTCTGATTTTAACTAACTTATAATTTATGATACAATAGGATAGCCAATTATTATCAATTTTTAGCTGATCTATAATATAAAAATCACCATTTGATATAGTAATTATTTTGTATTTGACTAGTGTTAAAGAAGAACATTCACAAAAAAAATTGTATAAAAATTTTTCAAAAAATTTACACAGATTTTGCACATTTTTCACAGACTTTTTTTTAAACTATAATAATTTCACAAATATCAATTTTACTGAAATAAAATATATATTATTTTGTAACCAGAAACTAGATTTTTTTCTATTTACAAATATTTTAGTAAAAAGTCACTTTATATTTCATAAATTACAAACAAAATTAAAAAAAGATAAAAATTTCCAGAGATTTTTAACAGTTTTTTATATTTTTCAACTTCAGCCCATATTTTTAAAAAAAGAAAAATTATATATACTGATGAATTGAGTTCATATTTAAAAGAACCTCCATTAAATTATGATATGGATATTCTAATATATTGAAAAGTAATTATTTAAAAATTAGAATTAAAGAATTAAATATTAATATTAAAATTTTTTTCTATATAACTTTATGAGTCTGAATATTCAAATCTTAAAAATTACTTATGATTTTTTATCAATTCCTGGTATGTTTTAATATTTATTAAAATAATTTATTGTAAATTCTTTTTTAAATTTATTTTATTTTAAATAAGAACAAATGTTCCAATTGAAAGAATATTTTTAGGTAGTACTGAGGTGACTTAAATTCTAATACTATAAGAATGTGTATAAGTTTAAAAGGATGGTTGAAATCAGAAAAAATACATTTAAAAAATTTATGAATCTTTATAATATTTTAAAATAATATTGTTTATATAAATAAAATTGAATTTAAATCTTTACAATTTCTATGTACTATATAATAGATTATAAATATTATTTAAGCTCACAAGGATTGCTCTGTAACAGTAATGTATTACATTTTAATTAATCATACTTTTATATTAAATTTTATTATAACAATTAAGTAAAAACTCTGAAAAAATCCTTTGAACCATTTCTGAACTGGTGCAAACCAGTTTAATTCAGTTCAGTTTAGGTTCAGTTTTGATTTAATTATTTTTAATTTTGGTTCCAAACTGAACCAGTTTTTAAATTTTAATTCAGATCCAGTTCAACATTAGAATCAAACTGAACTGTTATATTAGGAACTTTAAATTATAATTATTTAAAATATTTTGAAAATTTATAATTATTTTTGAAAATAAATGGAGATTGATCTTTGTATAGACATTGAAAGATTAATGCTCTTTTTAAATACTTATCTCCAATTTTTTCATATAAATTATTACAATTTTTTACATGTCTAAGTATTTATATATTATTTTAAATTAAGATATTAACCAGAAGGAATTAAATTCTGATAATAGTATTTGATCACATAATTCAAATATTTTTTGATCTGTCAGGTTTGTCAGATTTGTTGGGTTTGTCAATTTAAAACATATAGAATTATTATTTATTATAGGCAAAAAGTTTATTTTGAACTTTTGAACAATATTCAAAATATTTAATTATTACAAACTTAAAATTATCATTATTGTTATTATTGAAGTTAAAGTTGAAGTTGAAGTCAAGAGTGTTATTATTATTGTTATTGAGATTGAAGTTGAAATTAAAGTCAAGAGTATACATGTTTCCAAAATTGATTTTGGATTTTTGAGATATTTTAACTTTTTAAGATTTATACAGAATCTATTCTATATATGGAAGTAAAAAAAATATCCAGTTATGTATATATTCAATCAAAGAATGAATCCAGGTGGTCAAAAAATTTTAGATTTTAAGTAAAATAATTTTGTCTTCTATAAAAAACTATTTCAACTTTTTTTCTTGAAATTGCAATTTCAGGACCTCAAAATAATTTTATATGCAAGTATAGTCAGGAGTATTATTATTTATTAAAATTGATTTGCAAAGTAATATAATAAACTTTGTTTATTTATTATAATAAAAAAAAATTATAAATTATAAATGAAATTATTGAATTAGAGTTAAGAGTTAAGAATATTATTACTGTTATTAGGATTGAATTTGAAGTTAAAATTAGAGTCAAGAGTATTATACAATAAATTTTGTTTATATATTGTAATAAAAAAAAATTTAAAACTATAAATAAAATTATTAGAGTTAGAGTTAAGAGTTAGAAATGTTATTATTGTTATTGGAGTTGAAGTTAATTTTAGAATTAAAATCAAGAGTAATATATAATAAATTTTATTTATATGTTGTAATAAAAAAAATTTAAAATTATAAATAAAGTTATTAAAGTAGAAGTTAAGAGTTAGGAGTGTTGTTATTGTTGTTGGAATTAGAATTAGGAGTATTATATAATAAATTTTATTTATATTGTTATATATCCAATGTGACAATATTCTGAAGAATAGAGAATCTTTTTTAATAAAAAACTAACAAAAGGTTATGTAATTATTATGCTATTCCTGATGATTCTAGTTGATTAATTATAGCAAATTACAGAGGAAAATGAGTCAACTTAAAAGTAAGTTCTTTATTGTAACAGAATTTTTACAATACCAAGTTTGTTTGTAACTTAACAAAGCATTATTACAGAATAAAATAATATGAATACAACATTTACAAATAATCAAGAAATGATATTAAAATAATATTTTAAATTTAAATTTAATATACAGTCAATCCTCTATAAATAAACTCTTTGGGAAATTAGTAATAAGATGTATTTATAAAGGGGTATATTATAAAAAATTTTATAAAAAAAATTTTTCATGTTAGATTAATTAGATATTTTATATTTATATCACATTTATTTAATTATTTTTATATAATTAAATAATTATTAATTTGAAAAAAATTCATCTAAATTAGATTGTCATGACATATTGATTTTTTTTACTTTTATAAATTTTTCAATTGTATTTGCTAATTTAATATACTTTTCTAAATTTTCTTGTTGAAATAAAAACATTTGTACATTTTTTATATTTTTTAATACTACATTAATATCAATAATAACTGGTTCAATACTGTTATCTAATTCTTCAACATCTTCAATATTTTCTTCTGGCTTTTTTAAAATATCAACAAGTTCTGTAATAATTTTATTATTTTCCAAATCTTCATAAACAATATTTTCTTCTAGTACAAAAAGAAATTCTTCTATGCCCATTGCATTAGGAAGGTGAAGTGTCTGAATATTTTTAGAAATATCATTTGTTAATTCACTATTATTTTCATTATTAATATTATAAGAATAACTATTAGAAAATTCATTAAAAGTAATGATTCCAGCAGTTATAAATTGTTTCAACTGTAGCTTCATCCCAACTTGAAATAATAAAATGAATTGCTTGCAAAACATTCATTTTTAAATTTTGTATAAATTGACCAGCTTTAACTTGTTCCAAAATCCATCTAAATAAAATAATTTAAATTTTTAAATAATTAAATTAAATAAAATATTATTCAAATTTAATTAAAAACTTACTGAATATGATAGTTACAATAATGTTTTTGAAAGACATAATAATTCCAGCATCCATTGGCAGCATTCTTGAAGTTGTATTTGGAGGTAAAAAATGAACATCAACATGTGAAAGATCTAAACCTTCAATTTTATGACTTTCACAATTATCCAATAATAATAAAACACATTGTCTATTATGTTTTATTGCAACCTTTTGATCAATATTACAAAGTCACTCTTGAAATAAAGTGGTAAGCATTCAAGCTTTAGAATTATATCAATAAGTTATTGATAAATTATGAACATTAATTGTTTTAAAACATCTGGGATTTGTATATTTTCCAATAATTAATGGTAGTAATTTGTGTGATCCATCTGCATTTGTACATAATGCTATTGAAAGATGTTCTTTATTTTTTTTATGACCAGAAAGTCTATAAGTTGCTAATGTATAATCTGGTTTTAACTTTTTAAAAATAAAATAAAATAAAATAAAATAAAATAAAATAAAATAAATAAAATAAATAAAATATTAATAAATTTATAAAATTTAAATAAAATTTTTTTTTTTGTATTAGGAAAACTTTTGTTTGGTTGCTCAAGGCTTTATATTTGTAATTTTGCAAGTACCACAGACCTTGCAACTTAACCATTACCTTATTTGACAAGCCGTACTGGACCAGTAGAAAATTATCCTTCAAGATCCCAAGTTACAACCCTACTATCAGTGATCCTGATGGAATACTGCAGTGAACTGATAGATATTTATACTATACCTGCCACCCAAATTCAAAATCCAAATGTCGAAATCCCAAATGCCGAAATCCCAAATCCCAAATCCCAAATTATGATTAGTATTTTTTGCCAAAATCCCAAATCCC